AATTAGAATCAAATTCTAACTATCAATCTTAATTTTTTGCTCTACTGTATCATCATTATGGTCAGTACATACATAGTAAAACTTTACGAAAAATAAAGAATATTTATTCTGTAGAACTTATTGTAAAAATGAATCTTTAACAGATTAAAATTGGGCTCTCAAAGTTTTATCAATAATTAAACTTGTTATCTGGAACAAAATATCCAAGAAAACTGTACAGATATTAGTTCTGGGATCGGTTATGCATATGTACACATATATTTAAAAGCTATTCACCTGTGAGAACACGTTCACTCTTTAAAATTGAAGATTAAGATATTCTCCACGAGGTTGTTCTAGCTGATGCCAGTTCCTGACAAAAACGATTTTCAGACTACAAAATATTTAATAAACTATTTAAGTAATTGAAACTTATTGTCTGTTATCATAGTGGAGCGAATATTTGGTGGTTGAGATGTTCGAACTTCAGCCACTAAGTCGCAGAACCAAACCTTGTCCCGCCTGATATAGCTTGATTCATCAGGTAGTATCACACCAAGTGTAGCTTGAAGCCAAATATAGAAATTTCTACCTCGAAAATGAATTTGGAAATACTATGGTGATAACTAGTTTCTTCACCCAGTGTGTATTAGAGTTTTGTAGGTCAGTTATTGTAATATTTATCCATTGATATATTCGATAATTTTGATGTTTGATTATATTTCCTTGAAAAAGCTTGGACCAGATTGCCATGCGAAACGTTGGATTTACTTCAAATTCATTCGCTGAGATATTACAAATATATTATTTCTATTTAATGTCTTACATCAACTTAGCGCCCAAATACTGTGAAACTATTTGCTCTAATTTGACGAACGTTCTTATATATTTATCCATTTAATTTTTTATATTATTTAAGCGATGTGATTTGGGTTTGCCCGTTGTCAAATAAAAAGTTTCGAGATCCAATCTACGTTAAGAAACATATTCTGAATAAACATATGGAAAAGGTTGAAGCTGCCAAGAAAGATAATGTGAGTTTGTCTTGTCAAACTTGCACAATCTGTTTTACACTTTTTCGTGCATATAATTTATCCCTGTTTATTACTTAATAATTGCGCTATATTTGGTATTTTCATACAGTTAATATTTCTTTAAATAGTTATGATGTAAATTTCGTAGAGCAATGACTTGCCGTTTAAAATATTTAGCGCTCAACCATTAGGTCTCTGGTTCGATTCACGTTTTACCCATTTCGATTTAAGCGACACGGTATTTATTACCAGTAGGAATCGATCAGTTTAGATCAATGCCGAGTATAAAAACTTGCCCTTGGTAACTGAGGTGTATTTCACCTATTCGAACCGACGTAAACTTAGACATTACACTAATACGTTTGAAATCTTTGTTACGTTCGCTACTTCATTAGCGCAAAATACGGTATACAACTGCGACACTCGAACATATAGAATCCCCCACAATCCCAAATCAAAAGGCAGAAGAAGGCTGGTTAAGTGTTTGCCGGGTAAGAATCATTATGTACAGAAAATCATGGGTATTTATAGATATTAGTGTATGTTATATCAACATTATAATTCAGACAATCCGCAAAGAGGCAGGTTATGCTACATTGGAGACATTCTTTTTACTTAGATATATTAGGCTGGTACGTAGCATATATATGACTACAGCGACTTGATTTTGGTTACTAACATTTTGTGTTTATTTCTACGTAGGCAAGTTTCACTCATGAAGTGGTTATATAATCACTTTTGTAGCTGCATAGAAGCCAGTAGTTTCATATTGTCATACCTTATTTAGTATTGATGGTTCCATGTTAATTTCCCGTTTTTTATTGAAAGGCTTTTGTTCATTATTCTCTTTTTTCTCTGTACCAGTGACTCTTGTTTTTCTTTTGTTTTCATAAATAATCAGTCGTCCATTCCCCAGGTTAATCATTGACTCAGTCCGTTTGCTTAATATAAATGATCACACGATATGGGAGAATCATGATAATTTCTCTGTTATCTTTCAGGCCTACTTTTTCAACAACTATCTTCTGGATCCTGCCCGACCTCAGTTACCTCCTGAGCCAATATCTCCTAGAAGGAGATCTCGGTCACCCTCACCATCTCGTGGAACTGCTAGAGGACCAAGTCATCAAGCTAATGAAACCAGTGAACGAGAACGTTCTAATTCTTGGGCACAAGGATCAAATAACTTCCAGTCACAAAGATGGCAACAGTATGGGCGCAATCGCAATGAAGGTGGAAATATGGGAGGGAATTATGGACGGGATAATATAAACAGTAACTTACCATTCTACCCCCGACCATATGGTCGTCAACAGTATTCGAATTTCCGAATTCCATATGGTGGTGGCAATCAACGTAATTATTATAATGGTCCACGAACTGGTGGATATAATAACTTTAATCGGTTAGTAAAGTGTTTTGTTGACGATTGGTTTAGGTTTTAGCAACTGTTTGTGTACTGTAATTGGTGTTTAATTGGGGAAAGTGTACATTCCGTTGTAAATTATGTAGTGAGCTAGTAGTTTTCGGGGAAGTTAATTAATTAGATTTGTCGATTATACCATTGAACACCAACCCAGTGCCTCGTTGGGAGTGATATCGTGCTCACTGCAAGGACTTCAGTTCAGTCCCAAGTTTATTGTCGTGGCTACCCGCTGCTGAGAAGTCTAGCACATGTATAATGCAGATACCTCTTTCCATTTGGATTTCAATGGTTCGAAAAATGGTGTCAGTTTGTGATGAGAACTAACCCTAAGCATTATCTAATTTAAGCCAAGTGCAAAGTTTATACTAATTAGTAGATATTGACGTTTACTTAAAAATTTTGAAACCGACGACCATTTACTGTGCAGAATGTTTGTGGTCCACCGACCAGAGTGTGGGCTAAAATGATTTTTTCCTTACCTAAAAACACACTTGGTTCAGCATAACTCCTAATTGACGGACCACACAGTATTGCTTAAACCCAACAATGAATTACAGATTCCTGCGCTTGACATTATATCATCAACCTTTTTTGTGAAGCTTAAGTTTTTACCATACAGTTGCTTCAATATAGATGAGTAGAAAGAAGTTTCAAACTTCTCTTTTCTCACTATTAAGATCTACCATTTAGAACACTGAATCAAAATTTCACAATAGTTTAGTTATTAAGCTTGATGTTAATGAACAAATCAAAATATGAGATCAGATCATCAAAATAAATTTTAGTTCATGTTTGTGAAGTATTTACTTAAAGAACATAAAACTTGTTGTTAACTAATAGAATTTTACTTAAATATATATATATATAATCAAAACTATTGTTATTATCAAAGTACATCTTACATTCTATTTTTAGACGTGGCTATCCAAGACGTTCCTACATTGATCTGGATGCACCTTAAATGGATGTCGCATTTTATTTGTATGCATTAGATAATAACAAATCTTGCTGTTTCCAGTCCACAAATAATCTCTATGTATTTTGTATATAATTCATATCAAGGAAAACAGCTATTACTTCCATGTTTTGTACTCATAGCTACATTACTATTATTCCTCATAAAATAAAAAGACTGAAAAATACTTCTGCTTCAAATTTGAAACGTTGGCTTTAGATGTTACTTAATTGATTATATCGTATTATTGCGAGAGTACCAAATTCTTTAATGACTTGTTTGAATGAGTGTAAGTAATGTCTATTTTGTTAAGACAGCTTATTAGAAACTATCTTTGTCGTTTAGTTATTTGACCTTCACTAGTTAGGTTCCAAGTTCTATCCTTTTCAGTTTGAATAGACGAGCAGTAAATAACATTTCTATTAACACATATTAATATTTAAGTGTTCAGTTTTATCTGTCATGACTGATCTAAACCTCCAATATCCTGGAGTTCTTAATATATTACCTTTTTGTAATTCCTTAAGCATGTCAATTTCATAAAAGTAGTCGTAACTTTGTCAGTCAATTGATAGTCATTTCACACGATTTTCAGTTTGTTTACATCTTTATTCGATCATTACGTAAAAGTTCTTAATCTGGGGTTGTAATATATATTGATGTGTTGAAGTTCGGATGTAACTTACATTCAAAACAGTCTGAAAAGACGATAATTCTACTTATTCTTGTTTATAGTGTTCACAAATGACAGTTAGTTAGAGGAAATGTAAAATGGGAATATGCAAACCTAAGTAAATAGTGTACAAATTTGGAAGACCTGGAGTTATATATATATATATATATATATATATATATATATATATATATCAGTGAGAACAAGAACACAATACATTTGTTCTGTACATGCGTTCTACATTAATGTATTGATCTCAATTTAAATCGAATTCCATATATAACATCGCAGTAGGCAAATGGCAAAATCACTCCATTTTTTTAAATATTCTTGAACCATCACCAGTTAGAGGATGCTTGAGAAACACTTAACAACCTTTTTATTATTTAGTTCGTAAATTCGAATCAGCTTATAGTTGGATGCTCGTTGATTTCTTGATGATGCAGAACTTCACTGTCAAGATATTACTCTATTAGCTAAGACAATAACTCACTATTCGAAATTTTTTCATATTATTTCGATGTTTCTGAAAATTGTCCAACGTTTTCAATGGTCCTTTATTTTACACTACTCCTCAGTGAAAAGAAACTACAAAAAGAAATAAGTAACTGAAAGGAATTAGGAAAAATTCATGTATCTTTATTGTAATCAGAATTTGCAGTACCCTATCCTCATAAAGAAATGGCCGATGTATACATAAATATGTCAAAAATTCCTTAAACAAGTTAATTTAAATAACAAGCAACATGAAAACCAGGTAGGGTCGTTAATTAACTAATTGTCATAAATTATCAAATATGAAATTGTCTTCTTTGAAAATTATTTGATACTCAGATGATGATTAACTATTATCATAAAATCCTAAAGAGTAGATCGTTAAAGCAAATAATATATGAGATTTTGTTTAATAAATATTAGGTTTGTGAGTCTTTTTTAGTTATTAAAATTGCTTAGAGCACAGATAACATGTAATTTTATCCGTATACGTCTTTGAGCATTGCGTAATGACTTATTCCAATCGAATGGCCGTTCATACAATTGACCAACGCCACCATCGGTATTGTTTTCATTGTTCAATTGTTTTAATTGACAGTAATCATTGAAGTTATTTGACCTTGGTGTAGTTATTTGCAGCTGCTCATCAGTAAAATCACATTCATCTTCAATAACATTGATCAAACCTTGAATTCTTTGTCCAAATGCCGATGCTATTAATTCAGCTTTATGTTTAGCATCTGAAACGGCTTGTTCAACAGCTTCTTTGCTAAACGTTATTTAAAAATACGGTAAGACTGTTAATTATGAAACTTTTACAACAAGAACAGATTCAAATACAAATTGCTGAATAGCCTTTTGTTAATTTAGTAACATAAATCCTGTTTTTAGGTAATGCTTAATACTGACTGATATAACGTTGTAAGAGAACTGTAACCAAAACACTAAGGATTTGATATTTGTGTCTATTAATTAAAACATTAAAAACCATCCAAAAAGTTACTTATATGAATAATCCTGGGCACATTCATGACTTGATTTAGGACAGATTTACCAAAGCTGTGAAGAAAAGATGGGACCTATGGACTTACCCTAGTTTGGGTCGAGACAATCGTCTCCCTAAAACACTATACAACTGATTGGCGTTAGAAAAACATAGATCATCGGATCCCAAATCAGTGGACAAATAGTGTCATCCTCGCCTTTAAAACTGAAAGTATGTGGTTTAGTATTTCATGAGATCATAGTTACGCTATATGAATACGCCCAGATAAATGGCAGAACGGATTTTCAGTGCTGTGTAGTTGTCAGATATTCTCTGTATAATTTTAGTCCATGGTGCAAACCGTTTTTGAAAATTCAACTCAATGTATCCGATTTTCAGTAAAAATTGGAAAACCTCAAATGACTAATAAAAACATTAGTCTCTGTCAATCAACTAATAATTAATAAAATATTTGTTCCATCAGCTTTTGATGAAAAGGGTAATCTTACTGCGCTTTTATTGGCTAATAAATCCTTTACATCCACCTTATATATATGTCAACACAATTTATTCACGTACATTTATATCCCTTTTACTGTCCTTATGTTTCATTACGAATAAGACTTGTCATATTTAGCAAGCATCATGTCTTCAAAATGGTCACGGGTATATTTCGCTGGGTAAATATTGTATGCAACTGGTGAGGAGAACTCAATCAAATTTATGTATCTGCACTAACTGAACTAAGAAAATTTGCGGTAGGAACAGCCTTCCAGGTTTTCGATGGTGGTGTAACAATGATCGGTTCACGATTTCAGTGAAATTCAATCTACACAACCCTATACTGATAAATATAATTATTTATAGCGTGCTATGGTTTTGAACCAAGTACTTCGATACCACATTTAGTGGTTGAAAACATTTATGAGGAAGAATTGAAGCAAATGAGTAGTACTAAGGATGTCATTGCCATAAGCTTTGGTTCAAAAGGAATGAATTATACTTTATAATGTAATTAGTATGAAAACTAAAACTTTTAAAAATCCTCGATGTTAACAACTGTCTGGGTAACTAAATTTCAGCATCATAGTTGAACGTACGAACTTGATTCACCGTTTTTGATATATATTTACGATAACAGTGGCAACAAGATATTTTTAGAGGTTAAAGAACAAGTTCATCGAAATTTCAAGGTGACTAAATTCATTTATGGTAAGATTAATATTTAAAGATTTATTTATATATATTTATACCATGAAGCTTATAAAGAAGTAGTTACTATGTGTTTTCTTGAAGAATCTCCTAGATTTTTAGAATCTAACTCAGAACCCACTCCAAGAATTGTTATGAGATTCTGCGAGTCCTAAGAAACCGCGACGCTAGTGTTTTGATTGTTTATAAAGTTAAAACTCTGAACTAATTAAATGTTTATTTCTTCAAAATCAAACATCTAAATCCACTAGCATCTAGTGCAGACTCAAGATTCAGTACGTCACAAATAATCCGTAACAAAAGTATGCTTTGTAAATCAGGATTGAAAGGTAGCTCCAAGATGAAGCAATCTCATTCAGGCAGGTGTTTAAGATGTTTAATTTTTCATTCAGATGTCAGTTTGTTTTGTCTGGTTTATATTTTGATAGAAATAATTTTTTATTTGAATAACATACAAAATAAACAATGCCGTCATAACATGTCAACTTAGACTTTGATAAACGTGATGTTATGGGACGAAACTTGTAAAATATCCAAAGCTAATCAGCAATGTTTCCCTGTGAATTTTACCTTAACATATATTTTATGCTTAAAAACTTTATTCTTAAAATGATGCTTCTGTACAAGTACATTTTAAAAAAAATCAGCGTATCAAGTCAAATCAAACAGGATGGTTTTGTCATCAAACGCTTCCTCTAAGGAACAAATTGACTTTAAGTAGTCTACTTGTCAGGTACCTACAGTAAGGATAGACAACTGAATAACTAAGCTGGTCTACATGCAATCACGTGGTTTGTTCTAAGGGTGATGTTGAAATACCGATTAAATCAAACCAAAAATCAAGAACTTGTAATGGGCTTTCTGCTTGAGTGTGGGAAAATTTTACCACATAAGTAAAACCACATTGGAATTGAGGAACACATATAGTATTATAAATAAGAAACGTTAGATTACCGTAGTTCGAACATCCGCTTTTTGGAATAGAAGCACTCTACGGTCCCCAGTCTTACATATGTGGGTAACTTGGACTTAAGATATCCTAAAAGGCTTTTTATCCCAGAAATGTCACATGTAGTTATCTCAAACTTGTACACAGCATTGACACCATTATCTTCCGTGACAGCATCAAAATGCTCAACAACATTAAACTTCTAAATTTGACTACAACAAAACAGTGAATAATATAATTACTTTGAGACGTCTGTTATAAATTGCTTGTCGAGCGTATTCAGCTCTTTTTCTCGCGCTCTCTTCTGCTGAACTACATGTAGGTTTTTTAGAACACACTAAAATCTCTACTTTGCAGCAGTCAGGTTCTGAGGTTGTTTCTCCTACACCGGAGACCTTAACTTCACCTGTATTATGGACATTATCAATTGTCATCCTGTAGTCATGGTTCAAAGGTGTTTGTTTACATAACCAATGTCCAATAGTGATAGCTTCATTTGCAATTTTGAAAGAACAAGATGTTTGGTACCTTGTATTAATTCTGAAGGTTGTGATCTGTAAATCGACGCAAGGTTTATTCGAACTCATCAACAGATAGGGCTCTAACCACCTATTGAGTTTAAGTATTCCAGGTTCAGTATCGAAAGGACAGGGGGCCTGAGTTAGACTTAGGAATGATGGTCTCTCAGTTGATGGAACTTTCTTTTCAAAAGTGTCGACGGATAAAACCTCAATCACGTGCTGGGGTAATGAATTCCATTCGTTAGTGATTCAAAGGAAGAGTCGATAGTCAGCTGACAAGTAATTTGTTCTGGGTCTATGATCTTTTTTCGAATGCCTTCGTAAATTGTGTTTTGAAAGTCATAAATAGAGGGCATATCAGGTGCAAATTTGTGACTAAAAAATCTGAAAACTGTAATCAGGTCTCCTGTGGTTCTTCGATATGACAACGGGAACTGGTGTAGTTTTGTAGTGCCGTGCTTCGATCATAGTTCGCTTCGATAACCGTTATTAATACCAATCTTAACGGTGTATAATATCAGAAGGCAAAGGGAATCGGCAACTACATTTTTATTGATAATCGATGCAGACCAGAAAGTTGTAAGCACATGAGCAACTGTAAGCAAGCGAAGCAAAGACGATGCGTATTGGAGATGGCTGGGAAGCCAACTCATTTTAAGCAAGCGTTAACTAACATTTATAGGCAGGCAAAAATGAGTGACAGACATATGATGAATAAGATACGAAGTGTACACATATGCGCTCATATAAAAAGTACTCAAGGTTAATAAGCAAATGATTAACAAGATCAAAAGATGACTCAATGTACAGGTGAATTTGCTTGGCCAGTAACTAGAATAAAGTATATGGGCCTAACATATGAACTGGTACTACATAGCCCCCTTGTAGAAAATAGCACATTTATAAAAAAATGTCTGTTTTCGAAAAATAACACTGAAGCGGTATGAGGATAACGTCAAAATGTGGGAAAAAATGGTACAATACCTGATGAATTACAGTGTCATGTGAGGGGTGAGCGTATTAAGCGAAAGTGTCATACTTATGTAAAAAGGAACATGAATATTGTCAAAGTGCGGACAAAAATAGGGATGCTAGCATGTGATTATGAGTACATTAGTAAGCGTTCGAAAAAATTTAACATGAATTTATGTAGTGACTGTTCGAATGATAAAATAACATGTTCGTATGAGCGATTTGAAATATAGTGAAAATAGAGTATAACAGTAATTGCTCTGTGGTGCTGATTGAATATGAGGATAAATAACAGTGAAATAGTCGATTGGCGGTGAGTGAATTCGAATTTACGTGCCGGGAGTTCATGAGGGTTAAAAATAATCCAGCCGTAGGATGATGACTTCATCAACGGTTGATATTCGTTGCTGCACTGATAATGATAATAAAATGCGAAATCAGCGTGCGCTAACGCTTGCGTTGAGTTATCGTTAAATATGTATTAGTAGAATGACCAGAGGAACAGGATAGTGACTGCTTAGACGAGATATGCGGAGTCGTATTCCTTTTTGGTCTAGAAGCCTAGCGTGGTTTGCGTAGTTAGAGGGATATGCGCTCAACCTCATTTGTTACGAAACCGTTTTAAGGCATGATAAAAATACCAATACATATGATTGTCGATGACAGCGAGTGAGACTGACTTGAATGTGACGAACAAGAGTGTAACTTTGAGAGATTAGCTCTAAACTCTATGTTCTGGTGTATAGTGCAATAGAAATAGGATATTAATTGCAGCGATCGAATAGCGATTATCGGTAATGAATGATGCAGCATTCAGATATAAATGTGAATGAATAAATAATATGAACATAATCATTACTAATCGGCTGGTAATGCGGCGTCGAATACTCGATTTGTGTATAAACATTAAAGTAGGGATCATCGTAAAACAAAAATTGCGGAAGTTCGGTTTAGATTGTCGCTGAAAATGTAGGAAACGACGGTTGCTGCGTACCAATGAAATGAATGAACATTAGTTGTCTATCGAGAACATAAGTTACTACTATCGGGAGTGTGACTCCAAACTTATGTCTATGATAGTGTTATCTTAGACCGAAAATGACATGAAAAAAAAATTGGAACGAACTCACTTGAATCAGGAAAATTGTACGTCATTGGATAATAAAAATAATCCAGTGAGTTTCGAATATCATAACGTGTAATGTCCATATCATTATAATTTGTTCGATTAGTGATATGACCGCGTAAATGTCATAGTTTAATGTCAATACGAACAAAAATAATAATTCCACGTTAGATGATGATATGACATTATTGTAATAATGAGCTTGTGATGATTATTTGAATCATAACGGAATATGTCGTCGACGGTTCCATTTTTGGTTTGTGTTCGCTCGTTGCGGTTGCCGATTCTGTCGCGTGTTCCAAATACGGCGTGCCAATTATGTTGTGAGTTCGTACGTCGAGGTTGTCGATTCTGGTCGATGTTCGTTCGGCGAGACATCCAATTATGTTTTCGCGTTCGTAAGTCGGGATCGCTAATTGTGTTGCGTGTTCGTACGTCGGGATTACCAGTTTTGTAGTGCCGTGCTTCGATCATAGTTCGCTTCGATAACCGTTATTAATACCAATCTTAACGGTGTATAATATCAGAAGGCAAAGGGAATCGGCAACTACATTTTTATTGATAATCGATGCAGACCAGAAAGTTGTAAGCACATGAGCAACTGTAAGCAAGCGAAGCAAAGACGATGCGTATTGGAGATGGCTGGGAAGCCAACTCATTTTAAGCAAGCGTTAACTAACATTTATAGGCAGGCAAAAATGAGTGACAGACATATGATGAATAAGATACGAAGTGTACACATATGCGCTCATATAAAAAGTACTCAAGGTTAATAAGCAAATGATTAACAAGATCAAAAGATGACTCAATGTACAGGTGAATTTGCTTGGCCAGTAACTAGAATAAAGTATATGGGCCTAACATATGAACTGGTACTACAGTTTAGTCAGTCTAGCATCATACGATTGCTTCGCTATTCCGTGAATCATCCTGGCTGCTGTTCTCTGAAGCTTTTCTGAAAGTTCACTGTCTTTTTTAGACAAGGCTAGCCGCTCGTATGCAGTACACAAGTTAAGGATGCACGAATACTGTATACAAAGTCAAAGTTTTAGCATCAACATGACTAAAGGTCTTACGTAATGACTATGGGTTTCTAAAAGCTTTTGTGGCTATTGCACGGCAGCGTGTAGTAGTTTTTAGTTCTTGGCTAACGGTGACTCCTAAGTTATTGCGTGTCTGGGCAGTAGGCAGCTCAGTGTTGTTCACCATGTGTGTATCTGTACCTTGATGGCCAATATGCACCACCATACTTATGGAAGAATTTATCGGCAACTACCAAGTTTGAGACCATCCAGGTAATTTTTCCAGGTAATTTTGAAGTTCCAAGCTATCATATTTACTTCTTATTGCTCTCCATAACTTGACATCGTCAGCATATAGCGAAGACTGATGATGATACCCACTGTCGACATCGAGTATGACAATCGTTTGCTGGAAGGATTAACTCGCTCTACGCTTCTTGGATTCTGTCATATCCTAATTTTAGGGGAATTCAATCTTCCTAGAATCAACTTCGCGGAACATACCTACATTGGAGGTGACAACTCTAATGAAGCTCGGTTCTTCAACTTCATCGATGATCTGGTATTATTCGAAAATGTGAAGTCGACAACTCGTTGGAGTGTAGTGACCGGCCAGTTTCGATAAGAACGCGATTGGAACAATAGAAACAATTGTTATTATTGTAACCAATTGTACCAGTAAATGTTTTACTGTTTGTTTAACTGTATCAGACTCACTTCTTGTTCCGCTATCCGCCTTGTTTGGTTCGAACTTTCTTACGCTCTGCCCATTTCGTTTGCACCCTTTGGCACGTCTCGGTATTATTTCGATACCACGGGATCGCCAATAAATATACTTGATCTGGACTAATTACAGCCTTCTGATATACGAGTTATCAAAGGAACCAAGTCGTTTTCGGGCGCGTAATCGAATAGTAGTGGTGATCATAGTCCGTCCTCGATTCGACACCTACTACAGGAGAAACAGTCGGACACCGTATTCACAAATGAAGAATTTCTAGTCGACGACCTTTCAATCCTGGCTCATCTGAGGAAAAGTGATCACGCTGTCATATCCTTTAGTTTTGTCAGCAAAACGGAGCTAAGATATCCCACTAACAACAGGCGCTGGAATTTCAAACGGTTGAATGTGTTAGCTTTACATGTCTATCTACAACAGGTGGATTGGGATGTTCACCCCCAACTAAAACAAACAAATAAGGAAAATATGCTCAAAGGCAATCAAAGAAGACAGGCTTTAATACTAGACAAAGCTTATCGATAAACTTTTCTCCAATCCAAAAAGTTTATTCCGTTACGCAGCTTCTCTTCGACAAGGCAAAACTGGAGTTTCTCAACTGCTAGGTCCTAATGGTCCGACCAATAACGACGGTGATGACGCTAACCTTTTTGGCTGAACAATACTCTCAGACATTCCAGCCGACCCACATCAACTATACGGACAAAAGCTTCACCTGCACCTGTACAGGACTTTCCGAAGTGGACCTGAGTGCTGACCGTGTGCTCCGTAAACTGTAGCACCTAACAGACACTTTTCCCGGTTCGAAAATGGTTCATTCTCCTATATTGAGGGAAGCAGCTTCAATCCTGGCATCACCACTTAGCGTGATGTTTTCACACTCTATAAGTCGAGGCAAACTACCGGAAATTTGGAAGCTGGCTCATATCACACCAATTTTCAAAGGAGGTTGACGCAGTGAACCCTCAAGCTACTGACTAGTGTCCCTTCTCTCCATACCTTCTAAAATTATGGAATCTATAATATACGACGGTATACAAGAATACTTATTATC